TAAAAAGAACTTTGAGAAATGCTTACTTCAGAGTTTTTAATTGGAGAGGGGTCATTTCTGGAACGCTGACAAACACTAGGAGTTCAAGGGATGGCATTTGGGCAAGAAAACTGGGAAATAACATAGAAGTGGTGAATTGGCATGTTCAGCAATGTTCTGGAATGGCATTGGGATAAGCAGTAAATATATAGCAAACGACACGAATGTAATTTTCAGAGCTGGTGATGGATGACTGTGGCAATTTTGGAAAAGCTGCTTGTTAACCAGTGAGCTTTCTGTGAGTAATTGACTGGGCCATCAGAATAGAGAAGCCATTAAAGGAACACATTACATGCCAATAATGAATACCTCATGCAGTCCCAAATTTGCAGCGTCTACTAATGGCTTACAGATTTATTCATTTTTTAATGCAATTGCTTTGTTCTGTGCACAGCTTCCAAATTCATTCGAGCGTTTTGAGAATGAAAGTTCAACGACAGGACGACAAGTCAGCAAGGAGAATATCTCAACCAGTGGTGGGATTCAAATAATTTAACAACCGGTTCTCTGCCCTAATAACCGGGTGGGTGGGTGTGGCCATGGTGGGCGTGGCCAGAGGGTGTGACAGGCAGCACTCGGCCTCTTGCACCCCCCCCGGGGAGCAAAATTGGGCTGCAGTGGGATGTGCCCCCCCCACCTGCCATTTTGGGCCTAGTAGGCCTCCCTGCAGCCGCCTGGGAGTGGAAACAGGCCACAAGGCGGCCGCACTGCACCCTCCCCACACCCCGTTTTGGGCCTAGGAGGCCTCCCTGCACTTACCTGGGAGCCAGAATGGGGTGCATGGGGACTCCTGGAAGGGGTGGGGCAGGGAGAGGAGGGGCCAGCCAGTAATTTAACTACACATTCGCCCGAACCGGCTGAATCCCACCACTGAGTCATGGTGGTTAGGTTGCATTGTCCAAGACTGTTGAAAAACATCGAGTGTTCCAGTCACGTATTCAAAGACTAACAGAACAGAATTTGAAGGGTCCTTGGAGGTCTTCTAGCCCAACCCCCCTGCTCAAGCAGAAGACCCTTTACCATTTCAGACAAGTGGCTGTCGAATCTCTTTTTGAAAACCTCCAGTGATGGAGCGCCCACAACGTCAGTAGGCAAACCATTCAACTAGTTAATTGTTCTCACAATCAGGAAAATTCTCCTTATTTCTAGGTTGCTTCTCTCCTTGATTAGTGTCCACCCATTGCTTCTTGTCCTGCCCTCAGGTGCTTTGGAGAATAGCTTGACTCCCTCTGCTATGTGGCAGTCCCTGAGATATTGGAAGACTGCTATCATGTCTCCCCTGGTCCTTCTTTTCATTAAACTAGACATACCCAATTCCAGCAACCGTTCTTCATATGTTTTAGCCTTCAGTCCCCTAATCATCTTTGTTGCTGTTCCTGGTACTCTTTCTAGAGTCTCCACATCTTTTTCATAATACGGTGACCAAAACTGGATGCAGTATTCCAAGTGTGGTCTTAAAAAGGAAGGGTTTAGTCATGCCAGCCACATGACCACGGAGACGTCTTCGGACAGCGCTGGCTCTTCAGCTTTGAAACAGAGATGAGCACCGCCCCCTAGAGTCGGGAACGACTAGCACATATGTGCGAGGGGAACCTTTACCTTACAGGTGGGAGAAGGAAATTAAGGAGGAACACTAAACTCAAGATACAGATGTTGATGTTAAGCTCCCATCTCAATGACCTGATACAGGTATAATTCGACTTAAAACACTTCCTTTAGTGATTGTTCAAAGTTACAATGCCGGTACAATGCCAAAAAAAAAAAAAAAAAAAAAATCACTGTTTTTCATATTTATGACTGTGCAGCATCCCTTGAGTCACATGATCAAAATCCAGATACTTGGCAACTGGCTCATATCTATAGCAATAGCAATAGCACTTAGACTTCTATACCGCTCCACAGTGCTTTGCAACCCTCTCTAAGCAATTTACAGAGTCAGCCTCTTGCCCCCAACAATCTGGGTCCTCATTTTACCCACCTCGGAAGGATGGAAGGCTGAGTCAATCATGAGCCTGGTGAGATTTGAACTGCCAAATTGCAGGCAGCCGGCAGGCAGCAGAAGTAGCCTGCAGTACTGCACTCTAACCACTCTGCCACTGTGGCTCTATGACGGTTGCAATGTCCCGGGGTCATGTGATCCCCTTTTGTGGCCTTCTGACAAGCAAAGTCAATGGGGAAACCAGATTCACTTTACAACCGTGTTACTAACTTAACAATTGAAGTGATTCACTTAACAACTGTGGCAAGACAGGTCATAAAATGGGACAAAACTAGCTGAACAACTGCTTAGGAACAGAAAGTTTGGGCTCAATTGTGGTTGTAAATTGAGGGCTACCTGTATCTTTCACTGATTGTAGTGATAATGTTGAAATCCAGCCTCATTGTGTAATGCTCCTGTATGAACTCCTCAAAAGACAACCATAACATTGTAACATTGTACTCCTAACTAGGGCATGCAAAACCTTTGCTAGACCAATTCTCGAATACAGCTCGTCTGCCTGGAATCCACACTGTATATCGGACATTAATACAATCGAACAGGTCCAGAGGTGTTTCACGAGAAGAGTACTCCACTCCTCTGCTCACAATAGAATCCCTTATGCCACCAGACTCGAACTTTTGGGATTGGACAAACTGGAACTACGCCGCCTATGGTCTGACCTAAGCATAGTACACAAAATTATAGGGCTTGGTGGCTCAGCAGACTGATAGCATTGTGATTAACACCAACTGTCTGCAATTACTGTAAGTTCGAATCTCACCAGGCTCAAGGTTGACTCAGCCTTCCATCCTTTCTAAGGTAGGTAAATTGAGGACCCAGTTTGTGGGGGCAATAAGCTGACTTTGTATAAATATACAAAAGTATGAAGGCTATTGCTTAACGCATTGTAAGCCGCCCTGAGTCTCCGGAGAAGGGCGGCATATAAATCAAATTAAAAAAAAAATTGTCTGCTACAACATCCTACCCAGTGCTGGGTTTCAATTTTTTTTTAATACCGGTTCTGTGGGTGTGGGTTGGTGGGCGTGGCATGGCTTGGTGGGCATGATAGGAAAAGGATACTGTAAAGTCTCCATTCCTACCTCACTTCAGGGAAAGGTTACTGCAAAATCCCCATTTCCTCCCGATCAGCTGGGACTCGGGAGGCAGAGAATAGATGGGTGCGGGGCCAGTCAGAGGTGGTATTTACTGGTTCTCCGAACTACTCAAAATTCCCGCTACCGGTTCTCCAGAACTGGTCAGAACCTGCTGAAACCCACCTCTGGCCCTACCTGTCAACGACTTCTTCAGCTTCAACCTCAATAATACATGGGCAAACAATAGATACAAACTCAAGGTAAACCGCTCCAAACTCAATTGCAGAAAATACGACTTCAGCAACAGAGTGGTCAACGCCTGGAATGCTCTACCCTTACATCCTCAAACCCTCACAGATTCAACCTTAAACTGTCCACCGTGGACCTCACCTGAATCCTAAGAGGTCCGTAAAGGGGGCGTGCATAAGCGCACCAGCGTGCCTACCATCCCTGTCCTACTGTCCCCATTTATTCATACTCATTTCCTGTGTTCATGTCCATGTTTATACTTATACCTGTTATTTTGTACCTGTTTGATTAAATAAATAAATAAATAAATAAATAAAATAAGTGAATGCCTGCTTCCAAGTTTTTCTTAAAACTGGAACTTTCCTTCAAACAAATCCGTCTATCCAAATAAAGTTGCTTTTTTCTTCCACTGAATGCAAAGTTAGGCTCCGTGTAGTTGCTTTTCTCATATACCAAATGTAGTGAACGCATAATATTTTCTAAAGCTTTCTTTTTAAATGTTTCAGTGAGGTTTTTGTAGCGACATGGTTAACATTGATTGTCCCCAATCTGATTCCTTCACGCAAATTGAGGCTACAATTCTCAGGATAATGAATCATGCCGGTGTGAAGTCTAAAGAGTTGCGGGCCCAACAATTTGAAACTATCACATTGGGAGGTGGGGGGGAATAGATTAAATTACAGTTTTTGTGTAGCTGCATGAATCTGGATCTCCTTCAATCCATAAACAGAAGTTGAGACGATGTTGCTTCCATTTTCAGAAAAGAAGATTCTAGTTATATCTGCAGGTGGCCAAAGACCAAACAAACCAACTTTAATACCCAATTAATTCTAGCTTTTTTTTTTTTTGTCCTTTGTCTGGCTACAGTGAGAAGTTGTACTTAGTTGAAAACTTGCCATCAGTTCTAGGTGGCAAAATATCTGAGGTCATCCCTGGCTATTGCCCATATTTACACACCTAAATTTAGAAGAGGAAAACAACAAAAAAAAGTTTCTGTCCTACCTTTTTTCGGGCATTTTTTCAGCCCTTTTCCACTCTTTTTTCGGCCTGTTTCTGGGCCTTTTTTCGGCCCATTTTCGAGGCTTTTTTTGGCCCGTTTGGGAGGCTTTTTTCAGCCCATTTTTGAGACTTTTTGTGGCCCATTTTTGTGGCTTTTTTCAGCTCATTTTTGGAGCTTTTTTGGCCCATTTTCGAGGCTTTTGGGGCCTGTTTTTTGAGGCTTTTTTCAGCTCGTTTTCAATGCTGAAATGCTTCATTTTGGGGGCGTTTTTGAGGCTTTTTGAGGCCGTTTTTGAGGCTTTTTTTCAGCCCATTTTTGAGGCTTTCTTCGGCCCATTTTCCCCCAAAAAACGGGCCAAAAAAGGCTCAAAAACAGGCCCCAGCTCCAAGTCGTGCTATTTAGGCATGTTTTTGAGGCCGGGCACATGCGCGGAAGGCACATGAGCAAGCAAAGCACATGCACAGAATGCCGAGCACATGAACGGACAGCAGTGCACTAAGCGAGCATGAGTAAAGGAAGTGAAACCCACCCCTGACGGTGGCTATTTCGGCAGATGCTAGCCCAGCCTGTGTTTGGTGTGTCTTGCAAAAACTCAGACAATGCAACAGCATGAATAAAGCACAATAATCAGGCTAAGTTTGTTGTGGGAATATAAACCAAGTGATGAAGAGCATTGCCCTCCTTTTATCTTCTACTGATCAATAAGAACTGTTCTTTTTCTCGTCCCGAGTCACTTCTCTTCATCAGTTTTGTCCGTGTCGCTTGTGTTCCTGCCAAAAGGAAATTAGAACATGAAAACACTGCATATAATTACAATCCCATTAAAGCTGACATAATTGCATAGTCAATAATTAATGTTAGATTCAAAATAACTGACATTTGGCTCGTCGACGGTTTTTATGCACTCAATCAATTTGGCTTTTTTAGAAGAGGCCGCAAGCTTGCCGTTTGCCTAATTAGTAACTATGAGGCAGTGGGTCAAAATCTTTTGTCGCCGACCCAAAATTTGTTCTTTGAAATGTGTTAATGGGCTGAACAAACCAGAATGCTGTGACTCCTAGCCAGCCTTGGTTAAAAGTGGTTCAGTAAAGGCATACACTTTCCAAAAAATGAATCCCAGAATCCTTTGCAATAGCACAGTTTTGGGGGTTTTTTTTGGGAAGAAAAACTTTTAAATTGCATCGCATAGTGTTTGGAAACTGCAAATATTCTGGCAACCCGGCCATAACAAACTTTTATTTAAGGCTCCTTTTTGTCTACAAACAAAAGGTAACTCAATAATGCTTCAGGATTTTATTATACCTGAATGCTGAGATATAGTGACACAGCTACAAAGTTCCCTTCAATTTATATGTTGGGGTGTCTCCATTGTTTAGTTCTTTACAGATGTTTAGAAATATAAAGTATACAGATGCTGAGAAATGTTTGGGTTTCTCTCTGTGGATTGTTTAACGCCAAAGGTTTCTTTTAAAAATTATGAGTCTGCCTAACTTCTGTCCATCCATTGGTCTACAACAGGATCTCCAAACTTGGCAACTTAAAGACTCAATTCCCAGAATTCCTCAGCCAGCCATGCTGGGAGTTGAATCCACTGGAGACTAAAACATATGAAGAACAGTTACATGAACTGGGTATGGTTAGTCTAGTGACCACGGGAGACATGATAGCTGTCTTCCAATTCTTGAGGGGCCGCCACAGTGAGGAGGGGGTCAAGCTGTTTTCCAAAGCACCTGAAGGCCAGACAAGGAATAATGGATGGAAACTGACCAAGGAGAGATTCAACTTAGAAATGAGGAGGAACTTTCTGACAGTGAGAACAATCAACCCATGGAACAGAAGTTGCCTTCGGAAGTGGTGGGAGCTTCATCACTGGAGGCTTTCAAGAAGAGTCTGGACTGCCATTTGTCAGAAATGGTATAGGCATAGGGCCTCCTGCTTGAGCAGGAGGTTGGACTAGATGACCTATAGGGTCCCTTCCAACTCTGTTAATCTGTTAATCTTAAAGTTGCCAAGTTTGGAGACAACCCCCACCCCCATTGTAGACCCTGTCATCTCTAATGGATGGAAAGAAGTTAGGCAGATTCATATTATTTTAAGGAACCTTTGGTGCTGTGGACTTCAACTCTCAGAATTCCCCAGGCAGCACAGCTGGCTGAGGAATTCTGGGAGCTGAAGTCTACAAGTCTTAAAAGTTGCCAAATTTGGAGACCTCCTGGTACACATGATCCATCCATTCAAACCAAGAAGCCAGAAATAATTAAGTCTGAATACCAAAATATCTGAAAGGACCAGCGCTGGGAGATGATTCCCAGAACCAATCAATGCTTTAGGAAAATCTTTCTCGAACTCTTTGAGTAGTCCCTTAGCTCCTTTCCAACCAGCAAATAGAATCAAAAGGCATAAACTTTCGTGAGCTACAAGTGATTTTGTGATCATAAATAAGCACAGCTCTTCTTCTTCAGATGGGCTATATTGCAATACCCTTCACCATCTCCAAGATTATCTATGTTGGCTTAATTTCTAAGGCTGAGTTAAATTAGCAAAACATCATTGGATCAGGTTTAGTATCCATCACAAAGTTCTCGTATCTTTTCAGGTTTCCTTCTGGGTGCCTGATCATTCTGAGACACAACCAAAAGGGACAATGACCATAATCAGTTTCTACTCTCAGGAAGATCTCTGAGTCAATCTTCTCCTATTCTGGGCACCAAACAAAGCTTTTTAAAATGATCTTCACTTATATCTTTTTTAACAGATTGCTCTTCAGATGTAGAGTAGAATAACAGAGTTGGAAGGGACCTTGGAGGTCTTCTAGTCCAACCCCCTGCTTAGGCAGGAAACCCTACAACACTTCAGACAAATGGTTATCCAACATCTTCTTAAAAACTTCCAGTGTTGGAGCATTAAACAACTTTTGGAGGCAAGTCATTCCACTGATTAATTGTTCTCACTGTCAAGAAATTTCTCCTTAGTTCTAAGTTGTTTTTCTCCTTGATTAGTTTCCACCCGTTGCTTCTTGTCCTGCCCTCGGGTGCTTTGGAAAATAGCTTGACTCCCTCTTCTTTGTGGCAGCCCCTGAGAGATTGGAAGACTGCTACCATATCTCCCCAAATCCTTCTTTTCACTAGACTAGCCATGCCCAGTTCTTGCAACCGTTCTTCATATGTTTTAGTCTCCAGTCCCCTAATCCTCTTTGTGGCTCTTCTCTGCACTCTTTCTAGAGTCTCAACATCTAGATGTAAAATCTTATAATCCGCAGCCATATTCTTGGTCCTTTTTGTGAGATTCCTATTAGTACGGTGGTAACAAAATATTGGATTAAATTACTTTTCATTATTGTTGTTCTGATGAATGGTGTTTTTTCTTTTTTTACCATATTCACTAGTTCCATATTGGGAAAATTTTGGATAGAAGAATCTTTTCCAGATTTTACAGCACTCTAATCATGGGTTCCCAAAGATGCTTTTCAAAAGGCAACTTTGTTTTTCCTTGAAGACATTTCGCTTCTCATCCAAGAAGCTTCTTCAGTTCTGACTGAAATGGTGAAGGATGGAAAGATTTATGTTATACAGTATATTTTGCAAAGAATAGAAATCCTTCCATTTCCCACCATTCAGTCAGAACTGAAGAAGCTTCTTGGATGAGAAGCGAAATGTCTTCAAGGAAAAACAAAGAAAATCCAGTTGCCTTTTGAAAAAGCACCTTTAGGACAACAATGACCTGGATGACTGAATATGTCCATAGACATCTAACCATGGAGGACTCCTAAATGTCCATTTGTCCTGTTGTCTCTGGCCAATCATCTGGATCAGTGGTGAAATCCAAATGTTTTTACTACCGGTTCTGTGGGCATGGTTGGTGGGTGTGGCAGGGGAAGGATACTGCAAAATCTCCATTCCCTCCCCACTCCTGGGGCAAGGATATTGCAAAATCTCCATTCCCACCCCACTCTGGAGCCAGCCAGAGATAGCATTTGCCGGTTCTCCGAACTACTCAAAATTTCCGCCACCGGTTCTCCAGAACCTGTCAGAACCTGCTAGATTTCACCCCTGATCTGGATGGAAAACATGTTGCAGAGATGCTATCATCTTTTCTTTCTTCTTTTTCTCCCTTTTTTGGCCAAATTTCCCTCCCATCGTCTCTGAAAAAAATGATGTAACAATTCCCATTAAAGTAAGTTATTTTGAGATATGAAGAATTGGTTGACATTATTCTTGGAATTGGATCGGGATTCAAACTTCAGGAAAGAAAATGTCATGAATAATGAAATAATACAAATAATGTCACCCGTAATGAAATTGGCCATTTCCTGTGCCTTTTTCTTTACTTGACAATGAAGCCAACACATTGATGCCTGATATTGTTCAGATCGTTTTAATCATCTTCCATTCATCTTCCATTAGTCATTTTATTCGTCTTTCTGCAGCATCCATAATGCATGTTTTGGTACTTATGGATCTCATGGGCTATCAAAAAAGAGCCAAGTTTAGCAGCTTGGATAGAGATGTTGAACTGAATCTGCTCCAAGGGTTAAATCCTTCCTGTGGGATAATAGAAGCGGAGATAACCATTCCGTTTCCAAAAATGCTCCTTTCCAGTAAAATCGTAGTCTTATGTCAACGCCAACAAAGAATGTCTTTAAGCATAAACTCCTGGCTCAACATTCACCTGCAGAAAACAACAATTCTACAAAGCAAGTATCTAAAAATAATTAGTCTCCTGTTGATTTCCTGTGAACTTTGTAGGAAAAAAACAGAAATGGCCCTTCCTTCCTTCCTTCCCTCCCTCCCTCCCTCCCTTCTTCCTTCCTTCCTTCCTTCCTTCTTGCCTGCCTGCCTGCCCATATTGCCTGCATGTCTGCCCACCTTACCTACCTACCTACCTTTCTACCTTTCTACCTACCTACTTATCTGAGGTGGCTCAGTGGCTAAGAGGCTGAGCTTGTCGATCTGAAAGGTCGGCAGTTCGGTGGTTCGAATCCCTAGTATAGGTCTCCTGCGTGAGGAGGGGGTTGGACTAGATGACCTCCAAGGACCCATCCAGCTCTGTTACTGTTAATACCTGCCTTACATTTAGACTCCAAATGGATGGAAACTAATCAAGGAAAGAAGCAACCTTGAACTAAGGAGAAATTTCCTGACAGAGTAATTAATCAGAACGGCTTGCTTCCAGAAATTGTGGATGCTCCAACACTGAAGATTATTTTTAAAATGAGAGTTTCCTTACCTTTAGAAAGATAAACCCATGGCGGTTGAAAGTTTTGTTTTCCTGTCTTTAAAGTTATCTGTTTAAAACTTCACCCTTGGGTCTGTTGTCCATCACTGCCATCTGGTGGACAAGTGTGAGACATTGTGTTGAGACAGGATTGCTGGATAGATTGAAAAAACCGAAGGCAAGAAATATAGGTATAAAATTTACAGAGTAACAGAGTTGGAAGGGACTTTGGAGGACTTCTAGCCCGACCCCCTGCTCAAGCAGGAGACCTTATCCTCGTGATGGCGAACCTATGGCATGCATGCCATAGGTGGCACGTGGAGCCATTTCTGCGGGCATACGAGCCGTCGCCCTAGGTCAGCTCCACCGTGCATGTACGCGCGCCTCCAGCCGGCCAGCTGATTTTCGGGTCTCTGCTGTGCATGTGGGAGACGTGCATGCATACTCGTGCCGCCCCTCCCCTCCCAGGAGTCTCCACGCGGCCCGTTTTGGATGCCAGCGTTGCACAGAGGCTCTGGGAGGCGAAAAATGGGCCTACCGGAAGCCCAGAAACGGG